TATATATATATATATATGTATGTGTGTGTGTGTGACGAGATGAATTCAAGATCAACTCTGTACATCTATGAGCACTTTTTTCCCCTTCTGGCATCCTGAGTTGTCGCTTTAGGGCTAGTGAACAAACACGACAAAACAAACAAACCATTTCCTTTATAATTTTTTAAAAAGCAGCTTTTTTCCTGGTTTAAACAGCTACCTTGTCTTAACTAGTACAGAAGAAAAATAATGACATCTAGCATCCAGTAGCAACAATTTAAATCGTCAATTTAATGAATTTATGAACAAATTTGATCATATCTAAGACATGAAAACAATTTTCTTTCATGCTTTAAGAAGAGGCATTATGTCCAATGAGCATCTTAACATTTAACAAGTTTATTTAAGCTTTCCAATTTTTTTTCTATTAGTTTTTGCAGATTCAAAAAGCTAACATGTGTATAAGAAAACCATTTTTACAAATTTCAACACTTGGACAACACGTGATTCAGCTCAAAATAAAGATTAGAATACATCGGTAGCATCCAGTTGAAATGTAGAGGCAGGATTTATGAGCTAATTCAGACAGAAATCACATCAAGTATACTGGTGAGCAGCAAAAGCTGTGGTTTTACATTTCCTAATTATCCTTCCATCACTTCTCTCCTATCTGCTGTGCTGGAGTCAGTGTTGTTGCATTTACGCCCACGTCCCTGCTTTCTGTGGGCGGTTTGTTCTTTGTCTGTTCCAACAGGTACAGTAGCTTAAACCGCACATGCTCACAGTTCACGTCTCTCTTCTTATAATCCTCACATAAACCCACAGTTAGGACAGTTAGAATTTACACTGGAAAAAAAACACTAATTTAACAGTAAAATTGAAGATTTCAGCCTGTGGTGGGGAAGCTCAATTGTAAGTTTATATTTAATAGCAAGCTGGTTAGTGTTTTTCTGGCTTTGTTTCCACGTCATGGGAGCAGATGACAAGAAAATTCCTAAACAAGAGAATCTACATTTAGGTCTTCCATGTAGAGTGGGGGGACGTGTTTTGATTAATCATCCTGTGCATCTGCCTTGTCTACTGTTGGTACTGCTGTTAGCCTGTGGGGTCAGTCTAAGATGTGCAGAGTGTGTTGTGCATGACAAATGTACAGCTGCAAATAGAAATTAGAGCCGCCGACAGGAAGGAGATCCTGCAGGTGGTAAGGGAATCTAAATACTGGCAAGTTTGGTCTCATTTCACAGCATGTTGTTACAAATAAACCTGTTTTACTGTGAATTAATGTGCTTGTGTTCAGAGACCTCCTGACGAAGTTATCATGACTTGTTCTCCATATTCCTGTTGTTCATAAAGATGTCTCTATTTAAATAAAAACTATGTAGAAAACTCTTCATTTAGGACACGATTAGGTTCCCCACAGCTTCCATGTCAAGTTCTTCTCTATCAGACATCCATCCATGCATCCATTATCTTTACTCGCTTCTTCTTTTTTGGGTCACTGGTGCCCATGTCCATCCATCACTGTGCAAGAGGCAGGGGGGCACCCTGGACAGGTCTCCAGTCCAGCACAGGGACACATAGAGATAAACAAGACAAACAACCATTCATTCTCTCACTCACACCTAGAGACAATTTAGAGTTACCAGTTAGCCCAGTATTCGTGCATTTGGTTAGTGGGAGGAAACCGGAGTATCCGGAGAGAAAATTCATGCATGCACAGCGAGAACATGCAAACTCCACCCAGAAAGACCCCCAGCCGGGATTTGATCCGACGACCTTTTCGCTGAGCGGCAACATCTTTACAAACTGCGCCACCGTGCCACCTTCCCTATCATTGATAAACTAAAATTAGTAGGTTTAATGGACATTTCTCTTTTTTTTAACAATAAAAAGTAGACTTTTTCATCTCCGTTTGTGACACTTTAATGGATTAAAGGTAAAACTTAACAGATCGTCAATCATAAATGTAAAGTTTAATTTTCTCTCAACTTTCCCTTTTCATTTGCCCTCCAGTCTCTCTTTTAATGTCTTCTGGCATGTGTTTGCTCTCACAGGTGGAGGGGATGACAGACCCAACCTTAAGGCTGAGTGCGTGTCTCTTGGAGCACGCGCGTGTCTATGGTTGTATGTGTTGCTTGCCCTGTGTGTTTGGCGACCCCCAGCGGTCGCAACGTGAACTGCACATTAACGCCTCCAAAAAAAATCACATTTTTTGGATTATTTTTTAAAAACCCTTTCCTTTAACGTAAACTGTGATCAACGCAAAACTGTAAAACCATCCGTGCAGTAATTTATCTCCAATGATTCAAGATGTGCATATTTTTTGTTTGTTTTCAGACCATCTGATAAATAATTATAAATCAATTCCAGCAGCGTCTTATAACTTCTGTGATAACATGTTCTGAGAAACAGGCAGCACATGTGAAATAACAGCAAACATGAAAATAATATTTAGATTTTTTTTTTTTTTTTTTTTTTTTTTTAGTTCATAGCATTTTCTGTTGAGACATTTTTAAAGATTTACCTGCGCGCAACACTCCTTTTTATCCACATTTTTCTCGACTGCCGAATCCGCCTCAGTCCTCCAGATCCCCTCCCATCTGGATGGGTTTCCACCAAAGTCGGCGAGTTGTGCTTCAGAGAAAAACGCTGAAAGTTACGGACCTTGCTCCAGCTGTGAACGCGAGCATCGTTTAAGCCATATCCGTCTCCGTTGCGCACATCAAATTCATCCAAGAACGCAATAAAATCCCACCAAAAAAAAAATAATAATAATAATAATACAAATAACCAGCAGAAAGCTGTCTCAGAAGTTTTTCATCTGTTTTTCTGGAGTCAGTGCTCTTCCTTGTTGAAGACAGGTGGACAGGTGAGCCTGCAGACCCTCAAACTTTGCCTTCGCGCAAATTATTCATTCCCACCTCCCAACAGGAAAGCCAAAGACGGCCAGGGAAAACAGGACAAGTAGTTGGCACCTTCATGGCTCAGCTGGCACCATCTACATTGTTGGGAGGCAGACGAACGTCCAGGAAAAAAAAAAAAAAAAAAAGGAAATATAATAAATAAATAAAAATAAGAGCAGAAGATGAGGATGGTCGTTTCTCTGAAGCGCGCAGGATCCAAGTCACCACCAGAAGGAGGTCCTCCTTATCTACTCACATCTCTGGAGGTGTTGAGGGCTGAGAGGTTTGAGAAAGAAGGCGGAAAAAAAAAAGGAACAACGGAAAAAAGAAGGATGGGGAGACGCGAAGAGGGAGACTCCTGGAGGAAGAGGGTTGTTTCAGAGGAGTTGGAGAGAGAGAGAGAGGGAGAGAGAGGGGGAGATAAGAGCGTGTCATTAGAGAGGAGAGGAGGATGCTCCGTCTCCTCCTGCTGCTCCTCTTCTCTCAGACTGACGAACGACCTGCCTGCTGAGCCCCACTTTGGAGTGACGTCATTTTAAAGCCAAATATGTCATGCGTTGAAGTCTCTTGTCATGTGGGCGCAAAGCCAGGGCTGTCAGGTTGGGGGTGGGGGTGGGGTGGGGTAGTAACAACAAATACAGTAGGTAATGTTTATTGTTGTTGTTGTTGTTGTTGTTGTTGTTGTTTATTAGTATTCTTTAAGAGCATATAACTTTGTGAGCACTGTGTGTAATTCAAGACAGTCTGCTATTTTGTAGATTCATGAACCTGAAATCACAACTTGTTGCTATAGCAACAGCACACCTCAAACTCACCTTTACCTTTTCTTATATCTGACTATAAATGTGACTCATGAACCAAATGCTAACTGTGGCTAAAGTTGTGTCACAATAACTGTTCGCTTAAATCGACATTTATAAAATCAATCAACCTTTGTTTAGACAGGTAAATCCCATTGAGCCTCGAGGACTCATTTACAGGAGAGACCTGATTTCAACAAAGAAAGATGACAACAATGAACAACAGCAACAACAATAAACAGTTGTAAAAAAGCATACTACCGTTGTTGTTTTTTTTGTTTTGTTTGTTTGTTTTTTTAACAAATAGGATGGCTAAAAGGAAAAGGTAACAAAAAAAAAAAAAAAACAGCTAGATTCCAAAATAAACTTGCATTAAGTGTTTTTATCATCCATCCATCTTTACCTGCTTCGTTCTTTCGGGATCTCAAGGGTTTGTGGTGAAAATGTCCAGCAATGTCCATCGTAAAGACAAACAACCATTCACTCTCTCACCTAGAGACAATTTAGAGTTACCAATCAGCCTAACATGCATGTTTTTGGTCTGTGGAAGGAAACTGGAGTACCTGGAGAAAACGCACGCATGCACAGAGAGAACATGCAAACTCCACAGAAATGCCCCCTGGCCGGGATTCTATCCTGCAACATCCTCGCTGAGAGGCGGCAGCTCAACTGTCCCACCGTGCCACCAGTAATGGATCTAAATAATAATCCAACATTTTTCAGTCAGGTCATCTGGACAGTTTTTTTTTTTTTTTTTTTGTGCTGAAACGTTTCGCCTTCGGTCCGGAAGGCTTCATTAGTCAAGGAAACACACAACAAAACTGATTCTTCCCCCAACAACTTACTCCAAAGTGGAACAAACAAGTTCTGCTTGTGATAAGATGGTCTCTTTGGTACACCCCCTCCTCCATTGGCGGCCCTCTTCCTTGTTGACAGTCATGTCAAACTGGTTGAAAACAACAAAGTCCTTGCTCAATAATCCAGGTATAAAATCCAACATTTTTCAATCAGGTCATCTGGACTAAATAATCTCGCTAATAATCCATCACCTTGCATGTCCAGTTTGATTTAGTGAATATGTCAAAAAGGATTGCCATTGCAGACTGTCTGAACATCATACATCATCCCGTAGCTGCCAGAAGAAGACACCAACAGGTCCGAACTTTGGTGTTCGAATATATTTTCATGATGGTTATTAAACCTAAACTCTAAAAACACAACTTTATCCCACACGGACAAGGTCCAAGTCTATACAGGAATATCTTTTTATAACAAAATATTTTGGAAAGTATTTTTCTCCGTTTCATCACATGTTTGCACAAAAAAAAAACTTAGCACAAATCAAAGTGGACACATTGTTGTATATATAGTGAATCTTTATTTTCCTTGTGCATTCGTTTTTTACTTTGCTGTTTGCAATTTTGCATCATTCAGTGGATTTTGTTTTTCTCTGCTGCTTGTATATTTTGCACCTGTCATCCAACCTGACTGTTTTCTCCACTTTTCTTGTTGACATTACCCAAGTGCTTTTTCATCACTTAATTCCTCATTTGCTGCTAACTTGCAACGGGTCTAACAGTTTTTACACTGTTTTATTCTATTATCTTTCATTATTTTTATGTTTATTTAGTTGACTCTTTCTATCAGTTTATGGTCTTTATTTTGTGATACAAGTTACAAGAAGATGCATAAAATAAGTATTCTATTGTTGACACTACTAGTACACATGACATTAAACTGAACTTGAAGCTGGTAAAGTAGAACATGGTCAGGAATTACACTGAAACATACATGAGTTCCTAAAACCTAACATGTCAGCATCTTAAAATAGACACAGATGAATTCTGACAAAATACAACATTTCTTATGATGGTTTGTTAAAAGTCTTGCTCTAAAACATGTGCATTAATTATTTGGTGGATTTTAAAAGGAAAAATAAATGTGCTACAATGTCTTAAATTGTGATTGTTGCCTGTGACTGACTTCAACAATTTAATACATTCAACATCGCAGCCACAGATTTATAAATTTGACTATTTAGGTTAGTTTATTTCTTTGTTTTATAGAAAATAATATTTAAAATAATTCTAAAACTAGAGAAATAACATTTCCTGTGAAAATGCTGTGTGAATGCTTATTGCAGAAGAACTTGCTGACAAACAGCTAAAATGAGCTAAAAATAAAATTTTGAAATATAGTTGAAATGAAGAACATGCCTAAATTAGCAGAAAAATGCAGAAAGAACACATATTTATTTAACCAGTTTAACTAAGTAGAAATTAGCACAAAACTTAAGAAATTGGCTAAAAAAGGCTGAAATGAGCAAACAATAGCTGAAAAAAGCTGAAAAGGCAGAAAGAAGCATAAACTAGCAGAAAAAGTTGAAACGAGCAGAAAGAAGTTAATTAGGCTGAAAGTAGCAGAAATAAAACTTTAATTTATCTGAAAACAGCTGAAATTAACTTAAAAAAGCAAAAATGCAGCTGAAAATGTAGAACAAGCTTAAACTAGCAGAAGAAAAAACACATTTACTGAAAGAAGCAGAACTTAGCACAAAAAACGGAAATTATCTAAAAAAAAAGAAGGAATTAGGGAAAAAACAACTGAAAAAGAGCAAAAAAAGCTTAAACTAGCGAAGGAAGTGGAGAGAGCACATTTTTGCTTAATAAGGCTGAAAATCTTTGAAAGAAGTGCAAAAATTAGCTGAAAAAGCTCAAATTAGCATAAAAACAGCCAAATAGTAGCCGAAATAGCAGAAAAAGCTTAAACTTGCTGAAAATAAGCTGAAAGGAGCATAACAAGCTGACATTAGCAGAAAGAAGTTAGAAGTAACACAAAAATGTACAACTTATACTTACACAGTCCATCGCTACTTTACTGTTCGACTTTCATGGACTCACTCTTTTGTCGTTTTTCAATAATTGTCAAATTTAATATTACTCATGTGACTGGGACAGTTCTGGATAAAAAGTTAATGGGAAAATAAACACTTCAGACTGGCGCCACCATTTTGTAGTTTTCTTTCAATAAGTCTATACTTTAACGCCAGTCAAAAGAACTACACTACCCAAAAGCCAACAGTGCTTCCGGCCGCTGCTTTCTGTCAAAATTGAGGGAAAGTTTTGCAATGCAAATCTATGCTATGTGCTAAGCTCACAGAACTGGCGGGAAAGTCACAAATAATCCTAAAGCTTACTGAAGCTTAATTATTTACGTGTGCATCAACCTGGACGGGGCGGTGGGCTTTGTTGCTGCAGGGTAGGTCTGTAGAACTGGAACCGAGCTCGACCATAAACGAGCTGCTGTTCTGCAGAGCTGTTGAGTAAAATGTTGCAGTACTGTACAGTACATATACATATGTTGTTAAAATTTAGTAGCTTTAAGAGTTTAGAACATTGCAAGAGTGTGGAAAAAGTTTATAAAGCCTTAAAATATATAAAAATACCAAGATAAATATAGCGTTCCTACTTCGCGGTTTTTCACTTATTGCAGTAGTGTATGAAACGTAACCCTTGTGATAATTGAGGGACTACTGTAGTTAGTAGAAAGAATCTGAAAGGAGCACAAAACAGCTGAAATTAGCTGGAAGTAGCTGATTTTTTTTTTCACCTAGAAGCTGAAAGAAGCTGAACCAGAACACAATGTGAAAGGAGCAGTAAAAGGTTGTAAACACATCTAAAGATCTGAAGGATGTAAAAAGAGCTCTGTTTATTTTCTATGAGGAAAAAAATGGCAGAAAAGGCTAAATATTTGAAAAAGCTAAAGCTGCACCAATACCAAAAGTCTTCGCAGGCTTGTCCTGAAAGAGCTGAACATTTTGATTTATGATTTGTTGTAATAGCTTAAAAACTGCGGGACGAGAAACGTGCTGAAGAACGTACAGAAGAAAAATGGCTCACAATAGCGTGAACGCTTCATAAGCGTTCACGCAATTAGTTACACACTGTGGAGTCCAACTGATGCTCAAAATATGCCATCCACAACCATTTACTGCACACTTATGTGTATAAAAATAAAATACATTTAGAATAGCATTGGCTGTTAGAGGGCATAAAGCAAAATGTCATTACAGTATACATTTTATCATCTTACGGGACATGTGAAAACCCATTTTTCAAAGAAAAGGTGTCCACTTTAAAGTACAGTACAGTGGATGGATGATGTAAGAATTCAGAACATCAGGATCAGTCACAGCACTGTGATTTCAGAGCTCAGATAAAAACGAGGTAAAAAGTGTTTTCTGGTATTTGTTGCCAGCTTGATGCTGAATCTGAAGTGAAAGCTGTGTTCCATCGTTGGACGTTTTCCTCCCATCTTCCACATTTGACATGAATGCCGCATTAAACTGTCACCCGGGAGGCTTTTTACACACCTGCGCTACAAGAAGTCAGCGGTAGGCAAAATCCCTTTTCATTAGAATCAATTCACTGATGTGACCACGCAGCAAGATGGGTGAAGATATTATCCATGACAAGATGAGGTCTTGCGTGAGAAAAAGGGAGGGGAAAAAAGGCAGCCTTCGTTGTTCACCTCAGGGTCAAGGTGTCAAACCAATGAACACATCACACCTGTTTTACCCTTTG